CGATAAGTTGGTTTCTCCTTCGCTAAAGCATAAACTTGTGAGATGCGATATACAGAAACGCAGACCGGTGGAAGGCAGCCCAGTACCCCTTATACCTGAGACGGAGTAGGCGTGGCATTTGAACATGGCATAGAATGAGTTACTCGTGAGATATTTTACTCTGAGACAACTGTCATCTTGTTCGTGTTGGACACGGACATGACCAAGATTGTGTCGAAATGAAAATATCTCAGCAAAGGCCTAGCCATCGCCACGTTCAGCTGAAGTTTGCAGCCACACCCACCACATCTCAGCGATTTGGAGTGTATGTATACGGTATTCAGTCCGGAACTGACCGCTATCATTTCCGTTTGCTCCAGTTGGGAATGTCAATATCAATTCTCATCTTTAGAACCTTTTTCCTATCCTTCGGGATCTCCTCTTGAGGGCAATTTCAAAAAGTCACTTCTGTTCTGATAAGATGCGTTGATAAACCAGCAGGTTAATAGGATGTAGGTGGGCATCAAAGCGCCATTTGAATTCGAACTAGACTGCAATTAAAAGTCGAATAAAACTGATCACGTCTCCTTCCGAGAAAATTGATTCCGATGCAGTCTTTGACTATCAAAGTGCATATAGTTAATTCAAAATCCGACGTGAGATTGTGAAGTGTGAGAAGAGATCTCACAAAGTACTTTCAATGTTACCTAGTTTCTGATAATTGAAGGCAAAGTCCGCGATCATTCGCCATCACAGATAGTGGATTAGGGGTTCGCATACAGACGACAAGGTGCTGAGTAATTCGATAGTGAAGAAAAAGCAGAAGAAACATGCCAACTGCCCTAAATAGAACCCCTTTCAATCCCAGTTTGTAGTTCCCGATTAACTCCATCTCCACACTATGCCCCCATACGCACAGCTGATTCCCCGATAAGAACTCTACGACCGTACAAGTGACGATTTTCATGCTTTTTCGTCCTGCAGCTTCGTTTTCACTGAAAGGCGGAGTCTGGAGGCGGAGTCACTGGAGAAAAGGAGGCGTCACTGAACTATATTGCACCATAGCGCCCCTCCTTACGATTTTTTCGAAACCGGTACAAGGTTGTTCGTCGCAAGCCACACTACCCTCCCAACGCCATATTTTCAACTTCTATACCTAATCCTTCAGTAGCTTGGAGTGTGAATAATTCTAACGTGACGGTAAGGCCACTTATATGTAATGGATAGGCATGGCCCTTCTGGAAATGTGCCTGAGATTCCAGCGCGATCCAAATCGCCGTCCCTTCAGAACTCTAGTTGAAGCTGCCAGAAGGGATGTTGGCCCGAGTGGGATTCAGTCCAGAGTGAAGCCCTCAACCTGATCCCTTGCCATTATACGAATTTGACTTTGTGTGGCTCAGTGTAAAGTCGGACAGGTTCAGAAAGACACAAGTCGATCAACCCCTTTTCGAAATTCTGCTGAAGTTGTAGGCAAGTCCTAACCTTGAGCGAGATCCGAGCCCACACCTCACAATTTCTGGGCGAATGTGCTATCGTGCATTCTCCATTGCGCACACGGTACAGCATCGTTGTGTGAAACGCATAGGGGGTCGTACTTTTCCGCTGGGGAAGGGGGGGGTCATATTTGGTCGTTGTTGGGAGAGGGGGTCGTATGTGGCTTTGAGAGAGGAATTTGCCGCGTTGGGAAGAATTTTTCCGGTTGTTGACTTTTCGTGATTTTTCCTGTTTCATGTGTACTATGTACCCCCCCCCCCTCGCTCGACAGAAATTTTTGGATGGAAAACGTCGGGAGATTGGGTGGGAAAAGGGGGTCGTACCGAGGACCCGTCCTCGAGCGGGGGTCGTACTGACACAACCATTTCAAACATCACGATGGTATACCCTGATTACGCATCTCCTAGAAAGGGTGCATGATCCCTTCCCAACCATTCAAACATGTCAGTGTTCATAGCGTTCAGCACTTCTTTTCTGAACGAACCACGCATTCGACTTTCATCTAGAAATAAAAGGATGTCTGGAGCCGTATTCGGGCTGTGCAATGAATTGCAGAGATAAGTCTGTGTAAAAGCCAGCTTTTCTATAGTCTCATTGTGTTACGTACTTATCAAACGACCTTGTAGGTCGGCTAGGTTAGGCGTGAAGTAAATTTGGGCTTCAGTTGCCACGCTTGAAGTGGCTGCGTCATTTCACGTTGCTGCATCTTCATCTTCTCCGCAAACAACTTCCAGAATGATCAATAACTTTTGGCTAGCGTCCAAAATTCTCTATGCAATGAAGTGCGAACATTTATTATAATGATTACTGATGATGGCACTTCTTTCAGCAACTTGGGTCGGAGGAGCATATATCAACGGCACGGCAGAAGCGCTCTACAATGGGGGTTTGCTGGGATGCCAAGCGCCAGTCGGCTACGCCCTCTCTTTAGTGATGGGCGGTTTGCTGTTTGCAAAGAAAATGAGAGAAGAAGGATATGTCACAATGCTCGATCCCTTCCAGGTATGTAGCCGTTACCCACCAAGTGAGCATGAAGAAAAATGAGCAATATGAAAATATTGAACTGTTTACAGATCAAATATGGTCAACGAGTAGGAGGTTTGATGTTTCTTCCAGCTTTACTTGGTGAGGTATTTTGGAGTGCAGCGATTCTGTCAGCTCTCGGTTAGTCGCTTATGATTTTCGGTGAATAGATAACAGAGACAACAGATCGTCCAGAAGTCAATGATCAGGGACTGAATCTATTCAAATATAGATATTTTGCAACAACTTGTAGTTCTCTGAAAATGCACCCTGAATTTTGAGCAAGTCCACGTTAATCGTGTGGGCGGGCGCAGATTTTCACTGGTCTATTCGTCGGTAGCGTCTTTTCGTCGTGGAAAGAAGGGCGTACCATTGATGGAAGCACTAGCTTTTTGACTCCGCCCACATGGCCAACGTGCACTGTACATTGACGGCTCATCTTGTTGACCGTCCTGAAAGGTAGACATTCAAAGACCGTAGTGGTTATTATGGTACGAGATGGCACGCTTTTCAACATACTCGAACGTGTCCGCATTATGCGTCAAAGGATAAAGTCTTCGCCGCTGTCGATCAATCCCTTTTGGGATGCGGCACGCATTCTACTTCCATTCAGAATCGTAGTGGCTTATTGAATGCGATGTGGCCTATACAATGACTTGCAGGGGCCAGCCGATGTACAAGTCAGTGTTCTTATCCTCCCAGACGAATCTGGTACCAATTTATCGTACGAGGGTAAAAGGCTTGGTTGACCTGGACAGGAACCGCTCCGGGACGTGACCGCCGGACTGCGTGTGGTAAGCGTACCACTCGCAGCTACATCACCTCCACCTCGATCGTTGTTGTAAATCCTTCCAAACATGTAAATAAATGATGGTGGCTGGGCATAGGACCTCGGGTAGACAAACAGATCCCGTCTACGCTGAGGACCATTGATGAAGGTTGCCTTACTCGAGTTACGGTGAAGGACGTCGCATTTGCCTCGCTGATTCTACATCAGTGATAAACGGGAATCTGGATAGGAATAGTAACCAATTTTCGGCCAATTGCTATCGCTCCCTTACCTCCCTTCCCCCGGCCAGAGATATGTTTTTTTGGAGGCAGATGGAAGCAGATGAGGTGGGCTGATATCCAATGGTGACGTTGGACTTTCATACTCAAGAGGGTACTTTGGGGAGCACATAAGACTGCGACGAGAGGGCAATTTTTCTCGGTGCTATGGCCTCCTTTGAGTGCTACTGGCTGTGACGTGCAAGATTTTTCCAAGGCTTACGGAGAACAAGACGCCTAAAAAGGTGTTTTTGAAAACTACAATTTCTCACTTGACAAAAGTGTTCTGCGGGGGAAGTAGGCAGAAACGCATAGAAACGTAGGAGGAAAGTGTTTTAATCAGTGCTCACTTGCTGAGTTGAATTGTGCCATGTTCAGGGAGAACTCCTTGCGCAAACTGAAAATTCAAGGTACATAGTGCAAAAATTCTATAATGGATAATAGTGGAGGCGGTGCATCTTCTGTGACCTCACTGCGCTTTCCGCACGACAAGGACAGAGGCACCCCAGCTCCTTTGGAATAGACGGCAGCGGTAGCTTTTGCAGAATAGCTCTTCAACTCTTAGAGCTTCAGTTTGGCGCCGAGTGCCAAAATCGAATAGGGAGAGTAAAATAAAAGATGATGCATTATAAGCAGCGCTGCTGGGAAAATTTCTCATGGGAATAGTCTTGATGAATTTGTTTGAATTTTCAACCAATGATAAGGTGTGACATGCGAACATAAAACTGAATTTTTAAAGCGACTATGGGGAAACATTCCTGACTCAGGCTTCACTTCCATTGAGTAGCAAAGTTTTTCCAAGTGACTTTTGTAATTTTAATCCATCTTAAGGAGCAACGCTGTCAGTGATTCTCCAAATCGACATGAACATGTCTGTGGTGATTTCTGCTCTCATTGCCGTCTTCTACACTTTTACGGGCGGTCTATACGCTGTTGCTTATACGGACGTCGTGCAGTTGTTCTGCATTTTCGTCGGTCTGGTATGTCTCGTACTCAACTTAATCAATAGAAAACTCACTAAAAGGAAAAAGGAGTAGTTCTGGCTGTAACTGATTCTTTCATTAGGACCACGCATTTTAGTACCTTCAATGTTGGCGGCACTAAGTTTTCAGCGTTGAAATGCGATGGGTGGCAACGAGTTCCCGACAGACATTTCAGACAATGTAGATTAAAATAATTTGTTAATCCCATTGAGTAGTAGAAACCTCATGCATTTTTTGGTAGTGGGGGACGTAGCTTAGGTTTCTCACGCATCACGTACTCTCAGACGTACTTCCTACCTTCCGTACAGGCAATACTGGGTCATCTAAAACTGCGGCATGGACGTTTGGAGAGCGTGACACGGTCTGAGGCCTTCAACTTTATCCAGAATGTAGTAGCAAGAAGCACTTCCTACTCTAATTCAGAATGATTCTTCCCGCGACGGTATCTTCGCACAGAAGAACTCACTTTAAATTGGAATGACATCAAGAAGAAAAAGATATGTATATCCGGAAACATTTTTTGGCAGTCATTAAAGGTCTTGATCTTGATTTAGTCTTGATCTCAGCCCGATTTTCAGTAATCTCAGCCCGATTTTCAGTAGACTTCGGAAAAAAAACTGCAGTTCTGTCAAGCAGGGCACGCCATCGTTCTGATGATCACAACTGGGGGGGGGGGTGGGGGGAAGGGGTTGTCGTACTTGCACTGCAAGGAGGGGGGGGTCGTAATGTGACTGAAAAATTCTTTTCCGACTAGTTCATTTCTCCCTTGCTTGGGCTCAACGCTGAAGGGGGGGGTCGTATTTGGTCGTTGTTGCAGAGGAGCTGCCAAGATATATCAACCACTATTTCCGATAGCTTGAAAAATGATTATTAAATTGTGGCAATCTCCGCCTGCCCGCGCCCCGCTCATCAGCAAATATTTTTGTCGGAAAAAACAGGAAATTTTTCGGGAAAAATTGGAGAGTGTAGGAAGGTGGGAAAATCTTACGGAGAGCGGTAGAATCCCTTAGATGCAGGCACACCGTTGTTGGGATCGCCAATAGGGGGAGGGTCGTAATTTGGTCGCACAAGGAGGGGGTCGTTCTAAAGCTGAGGAAATTTATTTGATTTTTCTGGCTTCATGGCGTTGTGCAGGTAGGGGGTCCGCCATTTGATCATTTTTGAGGGGGGGGGGTCGTGTTTACATTTTGGCGTTGTGGGAGTGGCGGTTGACTTTTGGTGATTTTCCTGTTTCACGTACTATATGCCCCCCCGCTCGACGGCTCGATTCGATGAGGAAGGACAGAGGGCTGGGGGGGGGTCGTACCAACTCCCAAAAAAAAAAGGGGGGTCGTATAGAGTCGACTAAAATCCCCAACCAATGATGTGCTGTCTTAGATTTTCCCACCTTCCTACCACTTTCAATTTTGTAGCATGGGGGTGGAGTCGTATTTGAGGATGGAATCAGGGGGATCGTATTCTCCAGGGATTGATCACAATGCGATGGCGTCCTGCTGTCAAGCTTAAATGGCAAGAAGCTTGACTAGCTATATCAGGATTTGACTGGAAATCTCGCCCCGCATGATGGCGCCATTTTCCACTCCTCTCTTTCCGCTCCTATGTGGAAAACGTTCACTGAGCTCTTTCTTCCACCAACACGACGACCCCCTCCCAAAATGATCAAATGCGACCCCCCTCCCTTTACAACGTCCATGAAGCGAGAAAAATCAAATAAATTTTTCTCAGCCCAAATACGACGCCCTCCTTGTGACCAATGATACGAACCTCCCCGCCTATTGGCGATCCAACACGATGCGCCCTGGTCTAGGAGATTCTGCCGCCGTCTCCTAGACTTAACCAACCTTCCTACCCACTTCGCAATTTTCCCCGAAAAAATTTCTCTGCGGTTTTTCCACAAAATTTTGCTGAGAGCGGGCGGGGCGGCGGAGATTGCCAGATGTTGATTATCATTTTCAACTATCGAAATAGTAGTTGTGTAATTGCTTCAGCAGTCCCGTCTCGCCGAACAGCGACCCAAATACGACGCCCCACCCCTCATAGCGTCTGAGAAACAAGAAGAAATCCACTATCGAGAAATTTTTTTTGTTCAGTCCAAGTACGACCGCCTTTCCATTGCGATCATTGTTAGAAGAATGGAATAGAGTTCCATGTCTCTTCCCTTACAAAATAGACGCGGTATATATATGTGCTTTGTCATCGCAAAATGAAATCAAATACCTCCGCCTGCGAAACTATCAGCATGTCGGTTCAACCTAAAGTAGTGTCTTCATTGACTCCCAGATGCTGATCACTTTTTACTGTTCTCATTACTGTTGTAGTTCGTGGAAATTTTGTAATGAGTTGAGAAGAACTTGAAGAAATACATAACGTCGGCTGCGCAGGGTAAAGCTGCCTACCATTGAACCTCCTTCTATGTGTTACTGTATCTTTCTAAAGGTAAAGAGGTAGAGGCAATGGGAGAGGCGCAGTGGTAGACGAAACAGCGGCCGCCCCAAGCGTGAATGTATCTTCGAAATTAACAGTGCAAGAATACCTGACTTAGGTAGAATTCAGAGAAATTAGCAGAAAGGTTGAATTAAAAGGCAGTTTCCACATAATCATTCTCAGGCAAGCAAAACGAAGAAAAACTTGTAGCACCTCATTATTGTTTAATGTTTCAGTGGGTTTGCGTGCCAGCTGCGTTACTGTCAGGGGCGACGAGGGACATCAGTCGCAATGCAGGAGATTGGGTGGGTGAGATCGGTGGATTCAAGGAGAAATGGTTGTGGATTGATTGCATGTTGCTGTTGGTGTTCGGTGGAATTCCTTGGCAGGTACTCACACCACTAAACATCGCATTTTTTTTCATTTTTATTCTATTCAAATAAAAAAGAAATCTGCATAATGATAGGTAACTTGTACGCCTAGTGTGCAATTCGGCTTGATTAGTCCATCCGAAATGCGTCTCAGTCCTTGTGAAGGACGTAAACTCAACCGAACTGGCTCAGCTGTACCTTTCACAAGTTCTCGCCAAATAAGAGCATAAAAGTGGCAGCGAAGTGTTTCAATCAAACAACACCCCCTCATAATCAACGAGAAGGAATCCCAAACCCGGAGCGTGGATTGCGTCTTCACTTGAACCTTTCTATTGGGTTGGCACATAAGTACTTTCGTTTTTTCAACCGGAAATTTCGTTCCAAAGATGAAATGTTTTGCTAGCAAGCTTGATATCATCTGATAGGAAACTTCACGTAGTTTTAGAATATCAAAACGGCTTGATTGAGGGAATAATTTTTGTGGATTTTTTAGTCGTTGAAGTTGAAAGCGAAGTCGGCGAAAATTAGCACCTTCGACAACTGCCTCTATTTACGTATAGTCGAAGTGCTAAAATCGCTTAAGCTGCTCCATACATTTGGAAAAGGTCGAGCTAGAAGTTCCAGCAAGGGAATCTCACTAGGACGCTTTGGAACGAATTTCAAGAATTTTGAAGTTACCAACCTTTCACCTCGCCGATATTGGGCAGGCTCACGTCTGTTCCACCTGAAATTTTATGTTAATAGTTGAACGTTTCGCTAATATATTTTGCATGCTCTGATAGCGAATTTCGAGCTCTATTACATGCAATGAAATCTGTTCTCCAGAGCTGTTTACTTTCTGTTAATTTCAGGTTATCATTACGGAAGCGTGGGGTCGATGAATAATTAGCGTTCCGGTACTTCGCTTCCGTCACGGAACTTCAAGTCCTAGAGCAGCTCAAATAGAATCGCAGGTTTGAGTGAAGCATAGAGTCACCGAATAGTAAATCAGGATAAGCTCACCAATTGATTCTGAAAAAGCACAAGCGCGACAAACGTTTGACCCTTGCAGAGCTCCGTCGACCGCACTCGACGATTTTTTGTTTTCCCCTTAGTCAAATTTCAAACACAGTATTACAAATATCTATAGAAAATATAGATATTTCCAAAGAAGCTAGTCAAAGATATATTCCCCAGTGTATCTTACAACCTGAATCAGCCAGCTGTTCAATGCCTAATCGGTAAAAATTCATACATTCCATATTACCAACCTGAAAAAGAAGGAAATCAAACGGATTCTCAAAATAACTGCACGCAGTGTTATAGAGCACGAAATTTGCTATCAGAGCATACAAAACACATTAGCGAAACATTCAACTATTAGCATAAAATTCGTGGAAATCGGGAAACGCTAATTCTCATCGACCTCACGTTCCGTAATGATAACCTGAAATTAACAGAAATAAACACTCATTCAAGCGATTTAAACATAAAATTTCAGCTTGGAACAGACATAGCCTGCCAGTATCCGGCGAGGTGAAGGTTGACAACTTTGAAATTCTGAAATTCGTTCCAAAGCGTCCTATTGAGATTCCCTTGCTGAGACTTCTAGCTCAACCTTTTCCAAATGTATGGAGCAGCTTAAGCGATTTTAGCACTTCGAGTAGACGTAAATAGAGGCAGTTGTCGAAGGTGCTAATTTTTCGCCGACTTCACTTTCAACTTCAACGACTAAAAAATTCACAAAAATTATTCCCCTCAACCGAAGCTGTTTTGATATTCTTATACTACGAGAAGTTT